AATCCATAGAAGATGACCCAAGAAGTGGAAGACCCAAAACAGTAACAAATGATTACTCGAGGACCGTCGTATGGTCTCTACTATTAGTAAGGCATTGAATATGTCGGAACCCAGCGTAATAACCATCTCGCATAACAATTTGAACAGATGTCGACCAGGTGGATTCGACGACTGTTGACACCTGAATAAAATTGCGTAGGTTGAAAATTCCAGAATGTTATTTGGAATTTTTGGCATTAATTGTGACAGGGGCGAGATTGAGAATCCTGAGACAAAAACTAAATACAAGCAGTGGGTTCATCAAGGGTCTTCACCCACCAAAAAGGCATGGATGCAACTTTCTGCTGGAAAATGATGGCAACAGTTTTTAGGTACAACTGGGATGTCCTTATCATTGAATATATGCCAAAAGACACAACAGTAAAAGTGGCCGTCTATGCGAACACGCTGAATAATCTTCGTATGGCAATCAACTAGAAAAGTCCCGATTTTTCCAATCGAGAAGTGCTTACCCTGCATTATAACGTAACTGTGCATAAGGCTGCAAAAATGAGACCGGTTGTACAGGAATGCAACTTCGTTGAGATAGACCATCATCCATATCATCCGTTTGATTTTCATCTCTTTAGGAAGATAAAAACCTTCAAGAACGTTGTTTTGACTTGATAGCCTAAAAGCAGGCGTCGACGACTTTTTGAGATTCAACTGGTAACATTTTTTATAAGTGTATCAGTTCATCTGAGGAGTTATGGCGCAAGTGCAGTGATGTAGGCAAAGTAGGTATACTCAGTGACATTAGAACACTCAGACAAAATAATTTATTTAACTTGATTTTTTGACAATGAGGTAGTCTTACATCAAGAATAAAAAAAATTAATAACGTGTTGGACGACCTCGCAGCCGAATACACTCCTGTATACGTCTAGGCATCGACAAACTGAGATGATCGATATCTGGTTGTGGCATATCCTTCCAAGCAACTCGATCTTCATGGATTAGCTGTGGCAGAGCCTGTGGCGAATGGTTCAAAGTGGATAGTCTCCTCCCCATCATATCCCACACATGTTCGATGAGATTCAAATCCGGTGAACTGGCCACGGCAACACATTAACGCCTGCTTCTGGAAGCAAATCCGTAGTACGACGAGCAATATCGAGACGTGCGTTGTCTAGCTGAAACAGGACGGGTGGACGGCCCTCTAGATACGGCAGTAAAGTGGTTTGTTGGATAGCATCGACATAACGCGCAAGAGTGGGGGTGATCGGCTACCATAGGCAGTTGCCCCTCAAATCATTGCTCCAACAGTCCTGTGTGCATGCCTCTTAACAGCAAATCCAATATCACGTCGTTCTCCACGGTGGCGTCTTGTCCTTCTACGACCAACGTGCGTACCTAGACAGAATCGCGATTCGTCACTGAAGATGACATTATGCCATTCTGCCTCCTAATGTTGCCGTGCTCTGCTCCAGTTCAAACGTTGACGACAGTGGTCCGCAGTCAGAGGAAGCACTAACCGTGGTCGGTATGAAAAAAGTCCAAAGGCTCGATTGCGGCGATAGAGTGTACCCATAGTAACAGGTCTACCTTGTTCTCCAAACCATTGGTCAGGGATATGATGCGTAGTAGCAAAACGGTCCAGTAGGGCCAGTTGTCTGAAGCGCCTATATTGACGCTCTGTGGTACGCCTTGATGGATCAGTTCGCCATTTTCGTGTTCCTGTACCTTCTTCTATCCACACACTGCACACACGCATTACCGCCATTGCAGTACAATTAACATGGCGGCCAATTTCGCGATAGGACAAACCCACATCTTGATAGACAATAATTCTACTCCTGTAAAAGTAGTTAACATGGTGACAATTTGGAAGTCTTCGAACTCGAGACACTTGTTATAGTTAACACAAGTAAATGAAAGGTCAATAACTAAAAATGTCTGTACTATTCAGCTCTCAGAAACTGCTTCCTTCATAAAAACTAAGAAATGACATTTTAACAAAGGTAAACAAAAACAAAGATAAAACGTTGACGTTGCTGCCACAGCATGCTTTAAATATAGTCATTATAACAAGTCGGAGACATTTTTTTTTCTGAATGTAGCGCTTCTAATCTGAATGAGTATATATTGAAAATAAAAGTATCAAACAAATTGTGTCTTTTGTTTCATGGCTAGGTAGATTACTTTTCTAGTATATCTCGTTTGTATTGATCAGTGTAGCAGCATCGGCTTGAAATTGAATTTATGGTAGGTTCAATCCAAGGTGTATCAAAAAATTTGAATAAGCTACCTACTTGTATGAAGTGTATTATCAAAAAAATATATCACGATTTCGAAATGTTACTCGAGCCACAAATGCAGTGCCGTTTCTTTATCAATACTCGCTTCATCGGGCATATGATTTAAAACGTAAAAAACACAAAGAACATCCGGAACAAATAAAAAGAAAAGCCAGTTTGTCTTAATAAAGCAAAGGAAAGTCACAATTAGGTAATACAATGGTAAATAGAGTGCTAACTGTTTCTTTTAACCAATTGACGCATTACGACGTTCTTTTGTCTTGTGCGGTGCGATGCTCCATTGTTTCAGAACAACGACGGATTAAAAGTGACTTCCTTTGTATTTCCCTCCATTTGCTCACTTCGACGATCCTTCTGGGAAAATTCATTGCGACGATTCTGCTTCATTTCCCCACCTCAATACGGCTGCCGGAAATATGCTCCTGGGGTGGTTTTTGCGATAAGCGGGTGTTATTGGGAGGCGCATATTTGGTTATGATTGTGTCTCGTATAATTAATGTTACTTCACACAATTATACTTTAGAACTATCTGATAGTACACAACATACATTGGTGGAGAAGTGTTCCATTTTTGTTAAACTGAGATAGTCGCTTAGGAAGAAACCTAAGCACCGCTACTACAATAAGGAACTAAAAGACGCCTTGTAAATCCGATTCTTGAGCTGCCTAAGGTTAGCAGAACTAGAAAAAACCTTCTCAGACAGATCTTTCCACAACCTCAACACCCTCGGAACAAAGGAGCAGTCCTGTCGGCCAGTTCTGGATGTACAAAGCTCGATACGGTTAGGATGGGAGGCCGAAATCTGTCTGGCATATCTTCTCAATGTTTGAAGTTCGCAAGAGTTGGCACGTGAGGCAGAAGCCAGATAAGTCCATCTGACAGGGGGAGGAAGACAGCTCTGAAGAGCAAAGCCTGTTAGAGTATCAGTAGAAGAGAGCAAGGCCACCGACCGCCCATCGGTGCGAAAGCGTCACGAGGCTGTCCGTATAAGAAGTGCCATTGATCAGTCAAACATCCTCCCTCTGAGCAGAATCTAGTAAGAACAATGGAGTCGGGGCGACTGAGCTCCAAACATGTGAGCAGTACTCGAGGCTGGCTCTTATATGGGTAGAGTGAGGAAATTGTGCGGAAAAAGAACTTCTTAGTCCTAATAAATAACCTAGCTTTTTACCAGCAGCTGTTGCAATTGACGAGATGTTCTCATGCCAAACCAAGTCCTCGGTAATCTGGACTTCGAACAGTCTAAATGAATGGCTGTGTGGCGGAGCTCGGTCATCTATCGAAACTGGATGAGCGCTAGGGCGCTTCTGGCTAGACAAGGTACAGCACTGGCTCTTGGAAGCATTGCACTGTACCAGATTGTTGTGACTCCAAGCGTTGACAGATGGCAGGTCTCTTGTCAGAGAAGCCGCTACTAGTCATCCTCTCTTCAGTTCAGTTTGCAGAGATCGGCTTGCCACACTAAATGCGCGTAGAATGCAATCATCGGCAAAGCTGTGGATAGGATGGATCATCCGTGAGAGGAGGTAGTTCGTATGTAATAGAAACCCTGTTGGGGGCAAGACCGATCCTTGGGAGCACTTGCATTAATATTGTCGGTCAAAGACGAGATACCGTCAACTATTACATATATCTTGCGACCGGAGGAGATGTCAATTATCCAGATGCAAAGCTTCTCTGGGAAGCTATAAGATGGACGCCTGCGTAAGAGGGCAGCATACCATAGCTGACCAAAAGCTTCCGTGATGCCAAGAGCAACAGCATTAGTTTCACCATGACACTGAATGACTAGTTTACCCCACAGTTGTGTGATAAAGGCCAGGAGGTCCCCCGTTGCCTTTGGTTAAGCAAGCCGCAATGTTTGAGATACCCAACCTTCTTTTTGTCGAGGCTCCCCGGACCATAAATTATATCTTCATGCCTCCTTTACTTTTTCAATAAATACAAAAAAACGCCCATTCTATAGGTACAAAGACTTCTATTTTAATTCTAATAAAGAAACTCTGAAAGTTTACATAAACTAATAAATATTTTTTATCGAAAAACATGAATAAAATAAAAATAGGTACTAATGAGACACTTGACATTGCACGTTCCATACCACTTGCTTGATTCTAGGTTCTGATTTTGCCAGAGCTATCAACAGGTCGCTATCGACATCAAGACGATTTCGCTGTTTAGTTTTAATTAAAACTAGAGCAGAAAAGTCTGCCTCACATAAGCAAGTTGAAGAAAAAGGAACTTGTACTCGTAAAGCAAGAGAGATAAGTGTCGAATTAACAGGCAATTTTTTTAACCAAAATTTCTTTAATGTTAAAAGACGGAAGTCATCTTTCATGGACGAATCAGCCTTCATTTCTAGAAATTCTTCCTTAACTTCTTCTGGTAATTGCGACACATCGACAACAAATGGATTTCTTGTCATGTGCCATATTGATGACTCTGAATTGATGTCTCGATAGTATCAGCGAAATTCGTCTTCCAGCGCTTGCAACTGAGTGTTTATGTCAGCTTCTAAATTTGCGTCCAGCATGTTATTTTTAATTGCATCGAACAGACGAGAAAAAGATATAACATTTTCAGAAGACACTTTTTGGTTCCAAAGTTGAATATTTGATATGAACTCCTGAATATAATCATAATTGCTTATTATAGTGTTGTTTCTGCCCTGAAGTTTCAAGTTTAGCTCATTCAAGGAGTCAAATATGTCAGTTAAATAAGTCAACCTCCATTAAAATGTGTCATCTTTGAACATTGTCATGAAATTGTGCTTTTCTTTGAACTCAGAAAAAGAATTACATCTTCTTTCAATTCATAAAGGCGAGCCAACATGTTGCCTTTGGACAGCCAGCGTACTTCTGTATGGAACAGAAGAACTTTGTGATCAGAATAGAGATCCTCGCAAAGTAAAGTAAATAACCGACTGTTCAAAGCGCTGCTTTTGATGTAGTTTAAACTCCTTATAGTCGAGTCCAAAGTCTGCCGTAATTTTTGTGGCAATGTTTCGGAAGCCAAAGCTTTCCGATGAATAACACAATGTGTACTAACCATTGCGGGATTGTTTTCCTTGAGCTTTCTAGCTAAGCACGATCGTACACCTGTCATTGCAGGTGCGCCATTTGTGCAAAGTCCAATGAGTTTCTTCCAATCCAAATCATTTATTTCAACAAAATTTGATATTGAATTAAATATATCTTCAGATGTAGTACCTGCTGTCAAAGATTGGGAGTACAAAATCTCTTCCTGAATGATATCTCCGCCGATGTAACGAACATAAACTATTAGCTATGCACAATTAACGATGTTGGTGTATTCATCGCAAATAATGACAAAAAATGGCGATAATTTTACTTTGTTAATTATTTGTGACTTTATGTCTGCTAAAATGTCATCGATTCTACGCTTGACTGTGTTATTCGAAAGAGAAGTAGACTTCATTTTTTGCTCTGCATCTTCTCCTAAAATTATCTGCGTGGCTTTTAGGACACATGGGTTTATTAATTCTTCACCGACAGTATGAGGTTTCTCTTGCTTTGCTATCAAATGAAGCTTTGAGATGCTGCGATACACCTGTGCGATAACTTCCCAATTATTCAGTTTCATCCGCTTGAGTGATTCTGCTTTGGCAGAAAAAAAGTGTTTCGTCTTCAAAATCAGAGTATGTTGCTTCAAATGCCTTTCAAGGCGAGTCGGCCTCATGCTATCGTTATTTAAAAGTTTCATACATACCACACACGGCAAGGCAAGGTAAATCCAAACTTAACGTAATCTACGGAAAACTTTTTTTCGCTGCCATTTTGCACCTATAACAATAAAACAAATAATTTATAAATAAATAAGCAAAATACTTACACGTAATTACTAATTATATGTCCATTATTTTATCTTAATGTATTCAACAGTATATTGGCCACCGGGAGATTTATATTTTTGTAGGCAGGTTGACGTTATAATAGTAATTTTAAAAACAGTTGGAATCAATATTAGGTACTTAAAGTTCGTCGTTTCAAAATTATTTCGCCACGTTGGTTGATGGTGATGTGGTAAAAAAATGGCCGGTCTATGAACGTGTCTCCACTCAATCAACAATTTGGTAAATTAAATAAAAATGATAACTGAAGTTTGTAAATACACAAACCTACCTTTTAACAGTGAGACACAATAATTTGACACACTCAAACAGATTTCTCAACAAAACATGTACATCGAAACGTCAAATTCTTCATTTAATCTCTAATTTTATGCGTGTGTTGTTTGTTTATTTTTTTGTTTTTTCTTTCTAAAATCCAAACGCTTTCCGCTCCCCTTGACATCTCTCTATGCCTCACTTGGGAGGCGCGCCCCCTGGTTGGGCACTGCTGCTCTAGAAGCTCCCTATTTATGCACTTTTAAATCAACTTGCTGATAACATAAAGCAAAGCTATAGGTCTGCAGTTGTAAGGTGCGATACTAGATCATTAATTTTTGGACAGGTTGCACATGTGCAAATTTCCAATTCTCTGGAAAAGTACCAGATTAGAAAGAAATCTAGAAGAGACGCAAAAGAAGTGAAGCAGGCTCATCTGCACGTCTCTTTAGCACAATAGCAGGAATCAGGTCAGATTTGTTGATGTCGAAAGGCATTATTGGCACAGCAGTTTTATTTCGTGAGGTGTAAACCGCAAAGCGATAATGACCTTCACCGAGGTAAGTATAGAATTTCTTTCACTTCTGACCATACTACCATTTTTAATTTGATTATGCTTTGAAATATACGTAGCGCTATAATAGCCTTAACATCTGGCAACACTGGTGTCTTTATCTCCATAAAAAAGCCATGTAGGACTTTCTTTATAGAAATTTGTCGCGTTTTTGGGTCTAATTTAAGTCCGAGATGTAGACCATTAAATTCTAGACCACCCTGTATATTTTGTATATAACGGTACAATCTGACTTTTTGGATCCTTTCATCAGTCTGAATCTTAAATATAAAAGCGGTTAAATTCCCGAATTTTTTTTAGAAGGATGAAGGGGAAACCTGAAGATCAGAAAGAAAGTTAACAAAAATTTGCTTAGGACGGCAGAATAATATAGCATATAGCTGATCAAAAACAACATCATATTTTGCATGACAAGATGAGATTATAATTCACTTCTTAGTTTAGTATGATATTTCTATCAAGTATCCTCTCAAATGAGTTTCAACAGTGCACGGAGCGGAACATGTTTATATGCTGCGACGGTCAAATAGCTCTGAAAGGAGCGGCATCTCCGAAGACAAATTTATCTCTAGTTCAGATATACACTATTGCTCTTCTAAGTTTAGCTCCACCTGAAGATTCGTCCATGCTTTGTGCTCACGGATAAAGTGGAGTACGGGGTAAAGAGAGGAGAGCAGATTATCTGGATAGGCTGGGGACCAGGGGCTCCTGCATCGGCCCCGAGACAATGTCGTGTGGCGAGAGAGAGAAAGAGATAGAGAGATACACACACACACAGAGAGAGAGAGAGAGAGGCAGTTCAAGAGGCAAAAGTTCATTGTGGGCTTCGACAAACGTCGTACGTTCTGGCTACTGAACAAAGGTACAGAATCGCTGAAGCTTTTGGTGGGCGTTTTCACCGGTTAAACAGTTCCGTGTACCTCCTAAGGGTGAAAACAAATCATACCTGCCCCATGTGCTGAAAGAAGGATGAGACAGCGTTCCACTTTCTAGGCTTTTGCCCTGTAAATCGCAGTCTAAGGCCTAAGGGAGCCATGGAGTTTGATGGTCAACTTGTATACCCAGCAGTGTGGTCTGGGACCTTAACCAATTAAGGGGTCAGGAAGATTCGATAAACTGATGGATATTAATGTATGCATGTGAAGTAAAGTGTTGCTACACACAGGGTAGGCAAAAAAAACAAAGGTGGCCATTCTTCACACTCCTCTACTACTACTAATACTTCTGCAGCCGCTACTACTATTGATACGACTACTATTATTACCACCACATCACTCTACTGCTGCGAGTCTCCATAACATTCCATATTCATTGTCAATATTCCCGATTCGAAGAGCAGCAGCGCATCCTATTTGATACCCTCTCACGTTATACGATAAGACTTCTCGAACAACAATCTAAAGTTTTCTGAGATCAGTTAACTTTTTGCTTCTGGGAAGCTCTCGTGAAACTTCGAACAGAAATTAATCTCTTGCTCGACGCCTTCAGCTCAGCTAAAAAATCCCGGCTAGCTTAAACAACGCCCATTAGCACCACATGGGGTGACAAAACTAACAGCAACTCCCAACCGGGAGTTGACGCCACTTCACACAAATTGATTCTGGTATCATCGCGGAAAAATCGCCGGGCTGCGGAGTTTGTCGTAAGTTTGCTGGAGATATTGAGCAAGTTTGGATATTCTGACTGTATAGCATTGGAAGGGTGATTCAAAGAACAATAGCAATGCATAGAGTGGAAACTACCTAGGAAAAAATTCTTGAAAAAGGTTTTGTATGCTCTGCAAATTTCAACGTTCTATTTAACGTAGTGACTGGGCAATGAAAAAAGGATCTGATAATGATAATAACAATAATAGTTTTTTCACAATATTTACATAGTTCCAGAAAATATTCGGAAAATCACTAAAGGATTGCGGCACCCTAATAGTACTTAAAATCTAGGATTACATTTACAATAGCACATTTTAGAACTATTCCGAGATGATCTTTTCTTTTTTTATTCAAAATAGCTATGTATAATTTCAAAGTATTTATAAGTTTATCATCTTGTATATGGGTAACTGGATCGTACTATTTAAAAATTTGACAGATCTGTTATCTGATTTTTTTGCGATTTTCATATTTACTAATTTCTTGTGGTATATATACAGGGTGGCGCATCGAAAACGAAACAGACGCATTTACTGGCAGCTCAGTGTTTTTTTGGAAAAACGCTCAGACCTGTCGATTTTGTCTTCGAGGGGGACACAAGTCTGGCAAAAAAACACGTTAACACGTGCAGCCCCCTGGGCGGGGGTGACACCAACCCTAAGATTTTAAATGGAAAGGGGGGTCGAGTGATACCTTATTTTAAAGCTCCTTCAATTCCCTTTATAATGATGTAAAATACATGAGCTTCAGTTCAGTAGTTTTGAAGATTTATTGATTTAAAGCTTAAAGTAGACTTTAATAGGTACATCAGATTAGTTTGTACTACTTTTAAAAGAAATTTGACTAAAAGAATTTACTTAATAAGTAAATGCTTTTCTTCACTACGCCCATGGTTTGTTTATCATTTTGTTGTTGAAAATAGCTATTGGAGCGCTTTTTTGTGGCAAAAAAGTTATTTCTTGAAGAAAGATAAGGAAATACCTCGTACTTATTTTAACTAGGAATTTAGTACATAGTTTGCGATTGATTTGACCAAACTTTGTTGCTAAAATAACTTTTAACGCTTTATTACATAAATTAACCATGGTATATTCCACAGCAGAAAGAGCTAAATTATCGAAATATTTTATATTTATAACCGCGCTAATAGAACAGCAGAAATATTTAATGAGCGACATGAGAACAGTAACGTGCATCGAAAATATGTTCTAGAACTTGTAGCTAAATTTCGGGAAACAGGGTCAGTCGCCAACAAAAAGCGCAACATTGAAAATCCCATAAGAAACGAAGCAATAGAAGTGAGGGTTTTAGGGCAAGTTTATGTAGATCCTACGTTAAGTACCCGCAAATTGGAGACTGTGTGTGGTGTTAGTGGACGTACTGTCCAACGGATTCTAAAGGCCCATAGTTTTCATCCATATAAAATTCACCTGGTGCAAGAACTTAATGAAGACGATTTTGATCGGCGATTACAATTTTGTGAAGATATGAGTGAACGAATTATAAACGATGAACATTTTCCATTCAACACTTGCTTTTCCGACGAATGTTTCTTTTTCTTAAATAGCGTAGTAAATCGTCATAACTGCCGATATTGGTCCGATTCTAATCCTCCCTAATTTATCATGAGGTTCATACACAGCAGCCACAAAAATTAATTGTTTGGGCTGGTACTTTTGGCGATCATTTAGATGGTCCTTTTTTCTTACCTGCAAATTTGACCGCCATAGATCCTGCATTAGCAGCCATAATTGAAAATTAGAATGATTGGCGGTACATTGCGAATAGGTTGATGTTGCAACAGGATGGTGCCCCACCATGTTCAAAGTATTATCTTCCAGCATCAACGAACTTCTTTAGCCTGACCTTCCACAAATGAAACGCCTTTAACCAGTCAGTTTTTGGAATGCCTTCAACAAACTGATTAATTGCTTGATCGATTACCTCTTCGGACGAAAATTTTCGACAACGCAGAAGAGCCAAATGTCACACATTTCCTGATCTGGCGAATAAGGCCGATGTTCTAGCATTTTGATGTGGCGCTGGAGTGAAAAGTCCACATTTATTTGGGCAGTGTGGCAGGACTGATTGCAGGATACAGGATTGCACCTTTGCAACAACTTTTTTCGAATGAAGATGATCATGCAAAATGGTGTGCACTGTTGCAGATCCTATCCTAAGAGTTGCGTCTATAGTCGCATATAGAATCTTCTTCAATTAGTCGTTGAACTTTAGCAATGTTTTCTGGAGTCACACTAGAACATGGCCTACCACCACGTTTTTCATCAGCCAATGAAACACGCCCTCCTTTAAGTTCGGCATACCAGCGAAACGGACGGAGCATCATTAC